ACACACACACACACACATATATATATAAAAGAAAAAAAAACAAGAGTGGGCTACATGGTCCAGCACTCTCCCACTTACAGGCTTTCCAGCCAACCCTGGGGGCTCAGAGTTTGACTTCACGAGTGGAAATAGCAGGCGGCCCACATGAAAGCAACCTAAGATGAAGGCAGGGCTGTGACTAGTTTCCCAAATACATGCGAAGTGGCCCCACCTAATTCACCTGGTCAACAGTCGATTTAATGCACTTAAAAGCAGTGGCTCTCGAAGTGTGCTCCCCAGATCAGCAACACTAGCATCTCCTGGAAGCTTGTTAGATATCCAAATTCTCAGGCCCCACCCAAGACCTACTAAATCAGAAACTCTGGGAGTGGGGCCCAGCAGTCTGTAGTTTAACAAGCCTTCCAGGTGATTCTGATGTACACTAAAGTTTGACAATACTGACTTAGAGAACAAACAAAAACGATTTTTTTCAAAACAGTGCTACCCTTCCCCCAAGCAAAAAATCCAATTAATTATCTACTGTGAGGTCAGAAAAATATCTATTTATTTTCCCTTTATATATAATCTACTCCAGACTATCCTCACTGATCCTGGGAAGCCATGGAACAGATAATATAGAAGTCATTAATCATCAGCTTAGGCACACTCTTTTGCAAGAGACTCACCATCTTCATTAGGCTTGGCTTACCAAACTTCATGGAAGTTCCCTGAATCCCTAGCGTCTACAACACAGTCTGGCACGACTACTGGTGGAATTAATAAATGAGCACGATGAATGGAGGAGAAAGGGGGAACTGGCGATGCTGCCAGTCAGCACAAGATCATTTGGAAACTAACAATCTCCTGTGTCTGAGCCACAACATAGTAAACCTACACAGAGACGGCTGCGAGTTGACTGTGTTGTCGATAAAGACTCTTCTCTACAACTGGCTGCCTAGTGCCAGATGCCTCGCGAGCTGCAACAGCTGGTATGAGAAAAGAAGTCTTATAAGAATCCCCAGATCTTCCAGAGAGAGGTTCAACCATCTCCTCTGAGGATTTCTGAACAAGAATTACAAAACTGGCACGATATCAGGAGTGAGCATTCTGCAGGATCTCCTGATGGAGTACTATTTTTAAAAAGGCAAACAAGAGGGAGACAAATTGCTAGGAAGTTGCATTTTTATGGCAATTGGGAAACAAATCTAACTTCTTACTAGAAATGGAAGCCCATATGATATCAGTGTACTACATATGAATTATTAATGTTTATAATTTTTTTTGTAAATTAGGTATTCAGGAAGGTTCCGTTTGACATCATGTTTGACATCATAATGCTTCATCATTCTAAAAGCTTAATGAGATGAATTATTGCTAGAAAAGAGAAAGAGAGAGAGATCAAGCACACATTTTTGCACTCTGGGGAATACCACAGACCAAGCAGATAATGAGGATATGGTTTATAATTGATGTACAAAGAGGAAATTTAAAAAGAAAACTACTACAACCCACCACTGTAAAGAGGACCAAGTGACAAAGACTTTACCTTTCCACCTGAGCATTTTGGAAAAGGGGAGAGGAGGGGGGCCATGACTAGTAACTAACTCAAACTCTTAAGGAGGAAGAATTCTTATTCTAAAAAGAAATGAAAGTAAAGTTTTTACAAAATTACCTCATCCACAAAAGAGTAAGGAACATGTGAAGATTGAAAAAGACAATATAACACTGAGTCACAAGTCCTAAAAGGATACTGTTAAATATATTAAAGCAGTTCTGGGATAATAATTTTCTATGATCTGTCCAAATAAAAATTCTGGTCTCAAATTTAATTTCAAATCTATAGTTTCTGAGATCTACATATGCAAATTGCTGTTGAATCACTGAACCAGCAGACTCTTTCCCAGCCTTCCTAGTAATGGGTTGGAACGAATCAAGCTCTTATTTGGAAATCCTGTTGATAAAGCAAAGTGAGTTAAATTCCTATCCAGGTCAAACCTTTTAACACTTCAGCCAAGCAGCAATGATATTTATACAAGTTTATAGTAGCTGCTAATAATTAGGACTCATTTTCCCTCCACTTTTTACTCCATTTGGTCTCTAAGTAGCCTCTTGAGGGAAGCATTAAAACATAGCGAATGAATTCATTCATTATTCTTTCTTTCACTGAACAAACATGGAGTAGCTAAAGTTACCAGGTGCTAAATTGGGACTCTCGCTACTCTGAAAGGCAGAAATACAAAATTTCTCTCAAGTAACCAAAAAAAGCATCACAGAGTTCATAAGTTGCAACCATGCTGAACTACTGCTTCATGTCTTCCAATTCCCTCTTCAACAGGGAGGCAAAAGATAATCTTTATTGGTAAAATCCCAATTTAATTATTTCACCAACTATAACATCTTATTCCCCTGAAATGTCTCCTAATGCTAACTTTCTGTGAGCTGGCATGTTAAAAAAAAAAAGACAAAAGAAAAATATAGTGTTCAGCACATGCCTTTATAACAAAGGTTCAGTTGGTAGGTTGTCATGAATCCAGGTCTCTAGTCTTTGGATATTCTAATATCACATGGTTAACATTCAAAAGCTGGAAAAGAAAGCTTATACATAGGGGGTGCTCAACAAATGGTATTTTTTATTATAATGATGATTATATTATCATATTATATGATATGACTATTACCAGAGAAGCACTACAACTATAAATAAGCATCAGTTAAGCTTCATGTTACAAAATCAGATGCTGCTAAAACAAGTTCACTAAAAGAAGCTGTTGGTCTTCCAGCCTGAAGCCAGCACACGCCACCCTTCTCTTCACCCCTCCACTGAGAGCTGACTCTATCCAATGAAGAGCAGGAGTCTCCTCACACTAGGCCAATTGTTGAACAACTTTTCAAGTATTAAATACACAACTGTGTCTTTGCCACATACTCAGTGGGATGGTTCCTGGTAATCCACTGACCACGTAAAAACTGTGACTCTACCTACCATTAAGGGTCATGGAGACGTATTTTCTTCCTCTGCATAATGGGATGTGCGACCGTCATTCTGTTTGCTATATGGATAAAAGGCCCAGAGGCCAGATTTACACAATGAAAACGCTCTTGAATTTAAAAGTGTTTTGAGAACATACAGGAGGGCACTATTAGTCATTTGTCTTCTGTCATTAAGAAATATCTGGTGACTGCTTTAATCATTTAAACAATTTTTTCCACTTCCTCAAAATTCCACTCTCCTGAAAGACGAGATGTACATGCACAATCTTCATCCTCAGAGAGCTGCACTGCACTGGAAACCACGTCCCCTCGCTGTAGCTCAGCTGAGCCTCCAAACTCACGCAGGCTCTCTGTTACGTCCAGGATGCAGCCAACCCAAGCAAGCGACAAACGACAGGTTCCACTGTGGTCCCCTTCCTCCATTCCCTTCCTCTGTCTCTCCACAAACACCCTCCTTCATTCACAGGTCCCCACGCTCGGTCCTGTGACTAAGAATCCGTGCAGCCTAGCTGGTTTCCCCAGGTAACAATCTGAACAGGAGGCCACCCCGCACCGGGTCTGCACCAATCACCTACAAGGCACGCGAATCCAGGCCGGAGCTCAGATTTCATTCCCTCGGACTCGCCTCAATGATGCCCAGCCCTCCTCCTGCAGTAACCGGGCCACAGCCGTGCTCCCCTCAGTGAGAAACGGGCCGGCCCAACTGCTTCCCACTTCGCTCCCTTCTCCACCTGTCTCCCCAGAACCAGCTCCCAGGACCCCTCCAGGGGTCTTTTCTGCTCATATTTCCTGGGCCCTCATCACTCCCACAAATGCAAAGTAAACTCCTCCTTAGTGACAGCCTCCCCAGAGCAACCGCGTCACGGCCGCTCCACTCCGCCGGAGCCCCCAGCCCGTGCGAGCCCCGCCCGGACGGGGCGGGCGCCCCCCAGCCCCCGCGTTTACCTTGACGCTGGTGTAGCTGGTCTGGGTCTCGGCCTCCGCGCTGCTGCAGCAGTGGCGCCTCCGGCCCCTGCAGGTGGTCGCGGCGGGGGCCGCGGAGCCCGCGCTGCTGCCGCTGCCCAGCTCGGCGCGGGCCCTGCGGACGCGGGCGGCGCCGGGGGGTCCGCACGCGCGGCTCGGGGGCACGGCGTCGGCGGCGTCGGTCTGGACGAAGAGGCCGTGCAGGGGGGCCGCGGGGCCCTGCGACACGCTCGTGGTCTGGCGGGGCGAGTTGGACTCGTCCGAGTCCCGGCAGTAGATCACGCCGCTCTGCGAGACGTGGATGCTGGGGGCGCAGCCCATCCCTCGGCCGGCC